AAAGCACATAACACACACACAAAGCACATAACACACACACAAAGCACATAACACACACACAACACACTCACAAAGCACATAACACACACACACACACAACACACAACACACACACACACACACACAAAGCACATAACACACAATGCACATAACACACACACAAAGCACATAACACACACACAAAGCACATAACACACACACAAAGCACATAACACACACACAAAGCACATAACACACACACAAAGCACATAACACACACACAAAGCACATAACACACACACAAAGCACATAACACACACACAAAGCACATAACACACACACACACACACACACACACAAAGCACATAACACACACACAACACAGTACAGTCCGTGTACTGTAAGTTTAAGTAATTTCACTAAAAACAAATTGTTAGTATTCAATAAATTGGTTAGTGATTATAAAAATGTCGTCAGCTTTATGTGGCTAGATGACTTGGGAGATCATAGCAGCGTCTGCTGTCAGGTGTGTACACTAGAGCGGCGTCTGCTGTCAGGTGTGTACACGAGAGCAGCGTCTGCTGTCAGGTGTGTACACGAGAGCAGCGTCTGCTGTCAGGTGTGTACACGAGAGCAGCGTCTGCTGTCAGGTGTGTACACGAGAGCAGCGTCTGCTGTCAGGTGTGTACACGAGGGCGGCGTCTGCTGTCAGGTGTGTACACGAGAGCAGCGTCTGCTGTCAGGTGTGTACACTAGGGCGGCGTCTGCTGCCAGGTGTGTACACGAGGGCGGCGTCTGCTGTCAGGTGTGTACACGAGGGCGGTGTCTGCTGCCAGGTGTGTACACGAGAGCAGCGTCTGCTGTCAGGTGTGTACACTAGAGCGGCGTCTGCTGTCAGGTGTGTACACGAGAGCAGCGTCTGCTGTCAGGTGTGTACACGAGAGCAGCGTCTGCTGTCAGGTGTGTACACGAGAGCAGCGTCTGCTGTCAGGTGTGTACACTAGAGCGGCGTCTGCTGTCAGGTGTGTACACGAGAGCAGCGTCTGCTGTCAGGTGTGTACACGAGGGCGGCGTCTGCTGTCAGGTGTGTACACTAGAGCGGCGTCTGCTGTCAGGTGTGTACACTAGAGCGGCGTCTGCTGTCAGGTGTGTACACGAGAGCAGCGTCTGCTGTCAGGTGTGTACACAAGAGCAGCGTCTGCTGTCAGGTGTGTACACGAGAGCGGCGTCTGCTGTCAGGTGTGTACAGAGAGCAGCGTCTGCTGTCAGGTGTGTACACGAGAGCAGCGTCTGCTTATTTTGGTAGAAGTCGGTTTACTTCGTACATATGATTAATTATAATCACTGTTTGTTGCAGGGAGACGTTTTTATTAAATACAGCCATCTGACTTGATTTGAAGATTAATTATTTAAAAATCATTGCAGAACGAGATGTAATCGACCTGTAATTTAATATTCTCGTTTGCTAGAGAAAATCACGCGTTCTATCTCTTAGTGTATAACTAAATAATTTGAGGAAATTTATATTAAACGTTAATAAGTATTGTCGAAAATTTCCGACAGCCGACATGCATAGTTCAGTATTACCCAATTATTATTATGATTATGACCATGTTGGCATTTTGGCAATGCCAAAATGCCCCAAAAAAATCATTTTAAATATAGTGTGCTGCAGTGACAGCACACTATATCTAAAATGATATAAAGTCTATGACGTTAAAGTCCTGACTTTCAGCTTTAATTTGAGAGTTTTTACATCCATATTGAGTGAACTGTACAGGAATTACATCCATCTTGTGTTCCACTGATGACGACCAAAATTGGACACTTGGGTGCTCAGCTGTTTCTTGGCCAGTTGTGTCGTGGGGTCGTTAGTTCATGCACTGGAGCGGTAACAATTGGTCGGATGTTCATTCTAAATGTGGTATTTGCTTTTGGAGTCTGGTGTTGTTGTCTCTCCATGTGAGGACCAACGATGTGTCACTCTCAGCCCAACACGCCATCATGAGGATGGAAAGCCAGAATAAATCGACCAGAGTCACTGTCAAATAAGGTGCCTCAAAACAATCTGTTTGGTACAGTGTTAAGAGGTACAGCCCACTCTCCTGTTTTGGTAGTACTTATAGTAACGATGAGGTCCATAGTACATATATCGACGTACAACGCAGTTACAAAGTAGAAATCTGTACTACTGAATTTGAATAAACCGGAAAAGTTTTTGTATTTATGTTGCAAAGACAATTTAAACTAACCTTTGTAGGCGTAATACAATGAGTATATCTGTATTTTATATATATATATATATATATATATATATATATATATATATATATATATATATATATATATATATATATATATATATATATATATATATATGTATAAGGATATGAGTATATCAATATAAGTATAAGGATAAGAAAAGGATACCTGATACAGGATAAGGATATCCTGTATAAGGATACGAGTATATCAATAAGTATATCTGAGGCCAAATATAGTACACATGTGCGCTATACTAGACCTAGGAATATTTAACTTTGTGTTTTAGTTTCACTTTTCGGACTGTATAAAGTGAATAGTATCAAAATCTACTAATTGCTTGGTACGTTAATGTTTGAACTACGGTGCACATAGTTACACGAACTACTATGTAAACAAGAGGATGGGTTGTGGCGGCACGGCGACACGGGGGAGCTCAGCAGTGACTCTCAAGACCACGAGAGACCACTGTAGTGGATGACCAAAGAATATCTTGAATTGTGAAGTAAAAAAAACTTTCCAACTTCTGAACAGATCAACAACATTCTCTAGCATGTAGGCATTGATGTGACAAAGACTACCATGAGGAGGAGACTACACCAGCGAAACCTCAGAGGTTTCACTACATAACGCAGACCACTCGTAACCCATAAGAGCAGAACGTCCATGTTACAGTTTGCCTCAAGACAACCATGGAGTTTTCATGGCACAAAATATAAATGTTCTTCACTAGCCAAGTCAATCACCCGATCTGAATTCAGTGGAACATGTGTTTCACTTTCTGAAGGCAAGACTAAAGATGAAAAGCCCCAAAACAAATAGGAACAGGATGTGGGATACTACTTTTTTCCTGACTACCTTGTGTGTACAACTCTGCCTATTTGAACACGGTAAACAGCGCGCAGGAGGTAATCTAAGAATCCTGGAGATACCTGAGCCAGTCTCCGACAGGAGTGTTTGTGTTCACGATCTACTTGGTTGTGAGAGCCATTATACAAAGGGAATTTTTAGTAGGTCATCATCACAATTTATAATAAGTGAAAAAATATCTTGCGTCATTTACTGGAGTAACGAACTGCAAGTAAAAATTCCATTGGAATGGTATGACAGAGGCCACTGTGGATCCCCTAACACGAATGTATTCAAGAACTTAATTCGTAATACAAATGGGATTTAATTACTATGGAATGGTATCATACAGGACCTAATTGCATCAGAGAGACATGGAATATTCTAACTGATCGATATGATTTTCCTTGGGAAACGAATATCACTTAACACGGTCAAATGGCCACCAATCAATTAACATGAATTCCTATCACTTCCAGTCTTCAAAGGGGACCTATTACCTGATATTAAATGTTGTTTAATGTCAACCAAACGCTTTTAACTAGTTGTATATAAAAAGGGCTGCAACTGTTCTATGTTTCAGTATCGCACCCTAAATAGAAAGGGAGGGATTTTTTTTTTCAACGAATTTTACACATTTTCAATAATCTATTACAACCATAAGTTTCAAATAAAACCATTTCTGTGACACTCATCTATCACATTAGCATATAAGAAAGGATTTGTATAAGGGGATTATCCAAAATATCTTTAGTTTTACTAATACAAGTACTCAAAGTTCCCCCAAAATATATGCCAATATTTCATGTTTGCAAATATTTATAAAACCAATTAATGAACTTAGGAATAAAGTGTTTTCTAGAGATTGTGGAGACGTAAACTCTACATACAAGGTGTAAATTTCATGTAAATTGAAAAAAATGAAAGAGGGGAATCAATTTTGTTACTTGACAATACATAAAGTCAAACACTTTGCCACCTGTAACGTGGCAAACAGGTTAGACCTGTGGTTGAGGTTGACATCAACCAATTTCTGAGTGTGAAATCAACCAATTTCTGCAACACACTCACACCAAGCTGAGTGTGTTGCTCTCTCCGTGTGCGAGTGAGGCACCCTCATAGACAGGGGCACCAGAAAAGGGCATAACGCCTCGCCACTCTAGCCAGAGCATCACCAAGGAAGATGCCCAGCGTCTGGTGATGCCCACGGGTAGGTAGGCTTGTGGCAGTGTTTCGTTGCAAACCAAACGTGCTAAAGTGCAGTCAGAACAACAAATTGGCACCACTGTTTAAATAACTACAGACTGCACACTAACACACACATAACGTACCCCAATGTTCATAACTTACACATCAGAAACAACACACAATGCACATAACCACAACACACGCAGAAAACACAAAACAAGCAACGCACATTACACACACCCTACACGCAATACACACAAAACTTACAAAGAGACCGACATATATGGCACGGAATAGTGCAGCTGTCTCTAAGACCCAACATAATGCCAGGCAAAATAGGGGTAACTCTCGCTCGTAAGGATACATACAAAAAAGACCGTAATTTGAAAATGGAAAATAATTGAAACAAAAACTTGGATTTTTTCTAAAACAGGAAGTTAAATTAAGGGTCCTCTGGTAGGTTAGGAGGGTAGGAAGTTCTCCTAAAGTTTCAAAACGTTATGGAAACCGTTAATTGAAAGTTCCTCTCCTAACCAAACAGCCTAAGCCAGGTAACCCAAAACAGAAAACGGGATAGTAAGCCACTTTCGTGAGCCGATTTCATTTTAATTTACATGGTTTTTTAGCCTGAGTGCGCATACGAGCGAAAGGCGACGTAATTTGTAAGAGGACGAGTTGGCCAAACTGTGTCTCACGGTGCTTGGTGGACTGACAGACTTTACCTCGAACTGGGCGGCTTCTCGCTCCTTCGGGGGCAGGTGGCTGAGAGTTGGGTCGTTCTCGCGGTAGTGAGCAAGACGGAGGAAGTTGACCATCCACGTTGTCGACGCCACCTGGGGGGAGACCTGGGTGTTTACACACGTGGGTGACCTGGGTGTTTACACACGTGGGTGACCTGGGTGTTTACACACGTGGGAGACCTGGGTGTTTACACACGTGGGTGACCCGGGTGCCTCCCTGCTTACTATCATTACACTAAGTCAGCAAGGCTGACAGCCCGCCTGCTATCATAACTCATACTATATTTCCCATTTCCAATCTTTTCTTGTCGCCTGTGCCTCTCCATCGTCTTTAGCCCCCCTCCCCAAACAAAAAAAACACTGACCTTGGACATCTGGCACCAAACAAGGTTTGGTTGGTGTTTCTGGTCCCAGACGAATGTTTTGACGGTGGTGGGCGTGGCGAGGGCGTGTTGCTGCTCACACGCCTGCCCCACCTGCCTCGCTCGCGCCTCGTACACGCCAACACGACCCTCCAGGAACTCCCGATCCTGTTGGCAAAGTTTGGGTACTTAACGTCTGTTCAGTACTCTCTACTTAACCCGTCAACCCGTTCAGACTCGACATTGTTCAGTCCGAGACGGGAACTCTCGTCCCGCCCCTCAGGGCAATACAATTTTGAATTAAATAATAGGAAATTACAGTATTATTGAGTAAATTTATTTGAATTTTTATCGAAAATCATTAAGGAAAAGGAGATTTTACTCTTAGATATAGTGGAAATTTCACAATTTCTATTCAATACTTTCTAATGATGATTCTCTTACCTGAGGCGAGTATCTGGAGAAGTCGATGGAGGCGAAAACAGAAGCTTCTGAGGGAGGTAATACTATCGGCCAGTACTTATCCTGGCGAAGGGATACCAGGGGCGAGCCCTCCATCATCTTCGCCCGTATAGTCTGGTTGACTGTGGGTCCTGGGGGCAGCGGCGAGGGCTGGGAGGCAGGGCCCAGGAGCGCGACCCTATGAATCATCTTACTGGGCTGTTCGATGTTGTCAGAAATGTTTCCGGGAGAACTACCTGTACTCGAGCCATCGTGGGGAGCGACCAGTGATATATTGACGCCGTAATCAGTGGGCGGAGTCCCCTCTACTGCCTTCCTGCCTCCCGCCTCCTCCAACACATCATGTTTATCATGCTGAAAATCAACAGATTCACCGGTTTTCCGGGACGAATCGCCCGAGTCATCGCTTTTGAACCAATCATTTAACTCGTTGAGAATCAACTGCATTGTCCACTGGCTGTGGGGATCATATGACACTTCCGGGATGCCACGGGCCCCAGGTGGGGACGGGCCCGGGGTGCCACGGGCCCCAGGTGGGGACGGGCCCTGAGTGCCACGGGCCCCAGGTGGGGACGGGTCCTGGCCGTGTTCACACCTAACCTCACCAGAGTCATTACACCCAGCTGACTTAACCCGTTCAGACTCGACATTGTTCAAATTTTCTGTTGCTTTAGACTTCCAGGTCTTCCAAACATCATAAAAACTTACCAAGTGGAAAACCAGGAAACACAATAGGCCTACTCCGAGAAAACCTCTAAGCCTACGTTTGAATATCATTGTTGCTCAACGGTTCAGCACTTTTACACACTTAACAGAATAACTATTGATGTATTAAATTCTTTTCATATATAAATAGTAATATTTTTCTGGTAAAGTTTTATTTCATCACATTTTTATGTCAACATCACTAGTTTCAGCCACTCAAACATTTCACAGCAATTCCACATTGATTCCTTGAACAATGTGGAATGGATACATTGGATAGAATGGATATAATATGTATTTCTAAACAACCATAGTATCAGTTTCAACTTATTTGATAAATCATAATGAAAGCCCAGGACGTGAGAGCATCAGCTTGAGCGTAGGCACAGCAGCGCAAGCTGAGTGCAGGCGCAGCAGCGTAAGCTGAGTCTAGGCGCAGCAGCGTAAGCTGAGTGCAGGCGCAGCAGTGTAAGCTGAGTGCAGGCGCAGCAGCGTAAGCTGAGTGCAGGCGCAGCAGCGTAAGCTGAGTCTAGGCGCAAAAGCGCAATCTAAGTATAGGCACAAATGCACCGGCTTGAATGTAGGCGCAGCAGCGTAAGCTGACTGTACCTGCGCGGTGTTGATGACCGCAGCCGCCAGGCCGCCCCGCCCCCAGGCGCCATGTTGCCCACACTTGAACCCGTTGTATATACGCCCAGCAGCTTCCGCTCTCCACATGCAAAATATAAGTTTTAGATGTGGCAAGCTCTTCGATGTTGATATATGCTAGGTGTAAACATCAGAAGAGCAGCGAGGCTTGGACGTCTACCTTGTGGATGGTGCTCCATGACGCCGGTGCCGGAGAACCTGGCAACTCTTGGCCCCGCCCAGTCCCGTTACTCGTTGCCAGTTGACACACTTTAAGTAATAAAATATAAATAAATGTTTATTCAGGATTGTATGTACATACAATTGTATGTACAATACGATTGTATGTATGTACATTCTCTTGTATGTACATACATACAAGAGATTTTACAAAAATTGATAGATTTATAGATAGAGCTGGTACATACAACGCCTAAAGCCACTATTAAAGCGTTTCCGTTTCGGTTTACATACAAATAATATCATTTATGCCTTACCACACATTATATATATCCACTTGTTATAGTTATTTAATTTTAAAGACTTGGAAAAGATGTTAAGAGCAAATCAAAGACTTAGAAGCCTACCAGACACACACACACACACACACACACACACACACACACACACACACACACACACACACACACACACACACACACTGGAGGTTTTATTCGTAAGGACTTGTACAAATCGGGAGGATGGTGGTGAGTTATAGGGAACCTATACTAACTAATCTTAATGCAGTATGTTAACTGACTATTGGAGGATGTTACGGTACCTCTTCCACCTCCACACACTGGAGGATGTGACGGTACCTCTTCCACCTCCACACACTGGAGGATGTGACGGTACCTCTTCCACCTCCACCCACTGGAGGATGTGACGGTACCTCTTCCACCTCCACACACTGGAGGATGTGACGGTACCTCTTCCACCTCCACCCACTGGAGGATGTGACGGTACCTCTTCCACCTCCACCCACTGGAGGATGTGACGGTACCTCTTCCACCTCCACACACTGGAGGATGTTACGGTACCTCTTCCACCTCCACCCACTGGAGGATGTGACGGTACCTCTTCCACCTCCACCCACTGGAGGATGTGACGGTACCTCTTCCACCTCCACCCACTGGAGGATGTGACGGTACCTCTTCCACCTCCACCCACTGGAGGATGTGACGGTACCTCTTCCACCTCCACCCACTGGAGGATGTGACGGTACCTCTTCCACCTCCACCCACTGGAGGATGTGACGGTACCTCTTCCACCTCCACCCACTGGAGGATGTGACGGTACCTCTTCCACCTCCACCCACTGGAGGATGTGACGATACCTCTTCCACCTCCACACACTGGAGGATGTGACGGTACCTCTTCCACCTCCACATACTGGAGGATGTGACGGTACCTCTTCCACCTCCACACACTGGAGGATGTGACGATACCTCTTCCACCTCCACACACTGGAGGATGTGACGATACCTCTTCCACCTCCACACACTGGAGGATGTGACGATACCTCTTCCACCTCCACACACTGGAGGATGTGACGATACCTCTTCCACCTCCACACACTGGAGGATGTGACGATACCTCTTCCACCTCCACCCACTGGAGGATGTGACGGTACCTCTTCCACCTCCACCCACTGGAGGATGTGACGGTACCTCTTCCACCTCCACACACTGGAGGATGTGACGATACCTCTTCCACCTCCACACACTGGAGGATGTGACGATACCTCTTCCACCTCCACACACTGGAGGATGTGACGGTACCTCTTCCACCTCCACACACTGGAGGATGTGACGGTACCTCTTCCACCTCCACACACTGGAGGATGTGACGGTACCTCTTCCACCTCCACCCACTGGAGGATGTGACGGTACCTCTTCCACCTCCACCCACTGGAGGATGTGACGATACCTCTTCCACCTCCACACACTGGAGGATGTGACGGTACCTCTTCCACCTCCACATACTGGAGGATGTGACGGTACCTCTTCCACCTCCACACACTGGAGGATGTGACGGTACCTCTTCCACCTCCACACACTGGAGGATGTGACGGTACCTCTTCCACCTCCACACACTGGAGGATGTGACGGTACCTCTTCCACCTCCACACACTGTAGGGATATTCAACTTCAGGAGCAGTTTAGTTTAGTTCATTTATTATGCACCCCATACCCATCGTGTGGGCGGTAGTGAAAAGGGTTACAGAGGCACATAATGGGCTCAGGGACTGAACCCCACAATTCATTTAGCTAAACAAGTTATAATCTTGATGAGCTAGTTACAAAATTCAGTATAACGTCGTCATATCAACAATGGGTTCGAGATCGACTACAACTCCTCTTCCCTCCCTGCAGAAATCAGCAGGGAACAGCTCCTGCGACATGATGACAGAAGAATTAGGATAACAAGAGCACTGTCTAGTGATGACGAATATGGGGAACCAATAACAGCCCAAGAAGTAAGGGGCGCTATGAAAAAGGGTAAAAGTACAGCACCTGGTGAAGATGGCGTCACCTACGACATACTCAATGCACTGTGTGAAGTGTCTGGGAATCCACTACTCCACCTGTTTAACAAGTCATTCCTAAGTGGAGTGTTGCCCACACAATGGAAACACGCAATAATTGTTCCCATACCGAAGCCTAATGACCCTGGTAATTACAGACCTATCAGTCTCGTGTCATGCACTTGCAAGATGCTTGAAAGGATCATCCTAAACCGACTGTTGGACAAAATAGGCAGGTTAGGGGAGGGGTCAATGGATTTGTTAAAGGATGGAGCACAGCAAATTGTATAGTTAATTACTTGGCTAATGACACGGCTAGGTACTCTGTATTTGTTGACATCAAAGTAGCCTTCGACAAAGCATATTGACAATATGCCCATGCACTCAGCCCCGGGTCCAGACTCATGGAATTCAATATTTATAAAGAAATGCAAAGTGCCAGTAGCACAGGCACTCAGTATAGTGTGGTGGAAGAGCTTGGATACGGGGGAGATACCAGATGCGCTGAAAGCAGAAGACATAGCCCCTCTACACAAGGGAGATAGCAAAGCATTGGCAAAGAATTATAGACCAGTTGCACTAACGCCCCACATAATAAAAGTATTTGAGAGAGTGATCAGGAGTCAGGTCACTAGATTCATGGAAACCAATGACCTCCACAATCCAGGCCAACATGGATTTAGAGCAGGAAGATCATGCCTCTCACAGCTACTTTACCATTATGGCAAAATCACTGAGGCATTAGAAGAAAAACAGAATGCAGATGTTGTATACACAGATTTTGCAAAGGCATTCGACAAATGTGACCATGGAGTTATTGCACACAAAATGAGGTCAATGGGTATAACTGGTAGAGTAGGACGCTGGATACTCAATTTCCTGTTGAACAGAACACAAAGAGTAACAGTCAATCAAGTAAAATCTAGTCCGAGCGCAGATAAAAGCTTTGTACCTCAAGATACAGTCCTTGCACCACTGCTGTTCCTTATTCTCAAATCCGATATAGACAAAAATACAAGTCACAGCTTCGTGTCATCCTTTGTAGATGATACAAAAATCAGCATGAAAATTACCTCTGCTGAAGACATGGAAAAACTACAGACAGACATTAACAAAGTTTTCGACTGGGCAGCAGAAAATAACATGATGTTTAACGGTGATAAATTCCAGGTACTCAGATACGGCAAAAATGAGGATCTGAAACATAATACAGGGTACAAAACATAATCGAATCTGCCCATAGTAGGAAAACAGCATGTCAAGGATTTTGGAATAATGATGTCCGACGACCTAACGTTTAGGGAGCATAACCAAGCAAGTATTGCGTCAGCCAGAAAAATGATAGGATGGATTACGAGAACCTTCAAGTCCAGAGATCCCATCACAATGGTTGTACTCTTCAAATCACTTGTGTTGTCCCGTCTTGAGTGCTGCTCAGTACTTACTTCCCCCTTCAGAGCAGGAGAGATTGCTGAAATAGAGGGAATACAGAGAACATATACGGCAAGCATAGACGAGATAAAGCACCTAAATTATTGGGATCGTCTCAAAGCTCTCCAAATGTACTCACTAGAAAGAAGACGAGAGAGATACCAAATAATATACACCTGGAAAATACTGGAGGGACAGGTCCCAAATCTACACAGTAAAATAACAACGTACTGGAGTGAGCGATATGGAAGAAAATGCAGAATAGAACCAGTGAAGAACAGAGGTGCCATAGGCACAATCAGAGAACACCCTATAAACATCAGAGGTCCACGGTTGTTCAACGTCCTCCCAACGAGCATAAGAAATATTGCAGGAACAACCGTGGACATCTTCAAGAGAAAACTAAATTGTTTTCTTCGAGGAGTGCCGGACCGACCGGGGTGTGATGGGTATGTGGGCCTGCGGGCCGCTCCAAGCAACAGCCTGGTGGACCAAACTCTCACAAGTCAAGCCTGGCCTCGGGCCGGGCTTGGGGAGTAGAAGAGCTCCCAGAACCCCATCAAGCACGTATCAAGCAGGGCAAGTGTCAGGCTTTACATTGCCCAAGAGCAGGGGCTTTTTGTTCATTGGGTAGATGTGCCAGGGAGGCCTAGTGGGCGGAGACCCCAGGGTAGTGCCAGACGTCCCATTGGCTGGCTGGATCAAGGCCTAGAGTAAGACTTTGAACTCATTGGCTCTAATCTGGGAGAGGCGGGGCTTAATTGGGCCTAGGAAAACTAGGTGGGTGGAGCTTGTTTCCACTGGTATAGCTTAAGAAAATATTCGGTAGTGTGTCTTGGGCTTGACTGGGTACAGGTGAGGTGACCTGGAGGGCAGCCCTCCAGGTCACCTTTATCTTACCTATTATCTTACTCTTACATCTGTGGCCGGTGTTGTAAGAGTAAGATAATATCCGAGTTTTGGTACATCAAAGTAATTGCACTACAGATTATATTGCCTCTTAGGGATTTAATTAGAGTAGGATATATATCAACTTTGATTTCAGTACGTGTCATTTCTTTAATAAAGTGATTGTTAAAGTTTTGTTGTTTAGTTGTGTTCCACCCTTTTGTTATTAATGCAGAGTCATTTTTATATGTGGCGTTTATGTGCTGTACTAGAAATCCCCGCGTGTTCTCCATTTCATGGATATTAGAGTTGCCCTTGAATCCTCAATAAGTAAAGACTTACATGTTAATTCCCAAGCATTATTGCCAAGGTTCCTATACCCTTGAGTTCATGATTATTGATTTCTGTCCTTCCTGGGAGATCAGTAAGACACATTCAGGTTCTGGTCAGGAAGGTGGTGGCAGTATACAATTAAGTTTTTATTCATTATTTTAAAATTAATAAACCCTTCATTTGTTGCTCCTCCTCATTTAATATTAGCTGGTAGTTCAGTGAGGGTCACAGTGATCTGCAAGCAGCGTTAAGCTTGGGGTGTTGAGTAAGGCAATAGCAGGACGGGGTTATTACACAACGTTAGAGAAGATTCAGAGGTATGCCAACAGACTAGTTTTCGATCACAGAGGTATGAGTTACGAGGAAAGGCTACAGGAATTAAACCTCACGTCACTGGAAGGCAGAAGAGTTAGGTTAGAAATGATCACCACCTACACAATTTTCAGAGGAATTGACAGGGTGGACAAAGACAAACTATTTGGCATGGATGAAACACGAACAAGGGGACCCTTGTCCTCCTTGTTCTAGAACGCCCCTTGTCCAAACCTAGTACCCAAATGAGCCACAGACATATCAGAAGGACCTTTTTCAGTGTCAAGAGTAGTTAACAAATGGAATTCATTAGGCAGTGATGTGGTGGAGGCTGACTCCGTACACGGTTTCATATGTAGATATGATTGAGCCAAATAAGCCCATGAACCTGTACACCAGTTGAGAGGTGGGATCTGAGTGCCGAAGCTCAAACCCCGCAAGGACAACTAGGCAAGTACTAAACCTTCCGTTTTCCACTAGCACCCCCCCTTCCAGGAGGTACAGCAGCTGGGTAGCCTCAACAACCAGGTATTCACCTAGTTGTGTTTGCGGGGGTTGAGCTTTGCTCTTTCGGCCCGCCTCTCAACTGTCAATCAACTGTTTACTAGCTACTATTTTTTTTTTCTCCACACCAATCACACACACACACACACACACACACACACACACACACCCAAGAAGCAGCCCATGACAGCTGACTAACTCCAAGGTACCTATTTACTCCTAGGTAACAGGGGCATTCAGGGTGAAAGAAACTTTGCCCATTTGTTTCTGCCTGGTGCGGAAATCAAACCCGCGCCACAGAATTACGAGTCCTGCGCGCTATCCACCAGGCTACCAGACCCCCAGGTGGGGGGTCTGGTAGCCTGGAAAGGTGAAAGAACTAAGGGGCTACAAGCTAGGGAAACACCAGAGTAAAGAAGCCACAGGAGTAAATGGCTCGGGCAGCACCCCAACAGGCAGATGATAAGAGCAGGAGTGCCAAGACCTGTACGGGGGCACCACACCTCCCTCACCCACGTGAAGGCTCAACCACTTGACGGCCGCCTCAGCAAGTGCAGCGAAAAATCTATAGGAATTTAAAAATGAGAAATTACTTTTTTTTTGGAGGTGGACATTAAAATTTGTATAGCTAATACCCACGTCGGCGCCAAGACCAGCATTTCTCCCCCCTTGTCCATCAACCCGGGGGGGGCTCCAAGTGTTCCTCAACGCTCCCCTTCGGAGCGTTCTCCAGGTACTCAACCCCGTTCCCGCCAGCCCGTCCTCCTAAGGTTCCCCAACGTCAATACACTGTCGACCTAAAGTGCCCTTATCCTAACCTACCAGAGAACCCAAAACAGAAAACCCGGGTATTATTCCAATTTCGCGAGCCACTACAGTTTTATAGTACGACGATTTTTGGCCTTAGAATGTACGTCAAAATGCGACGTTCTACTAGTTGGACGGGTTAGTCCAACAGGCAGGTAAGTAGGCAAAATATACCAGTAGTAGTTCCCTCAGCAGCAGGCCAAGCACGAGTGTTCCCTCAGCAGCAGGCCAAGCACGAGTGTTCCCTCAGCACATGGGGAGCCCTGGAGAGGACTGGAGGTGTGCTACAAGAGTGCGGTCACCGCCTTTAACATAAAGTGAAGCAGTTTATACATCTTTCACACCAATATTATGCACGAGTTGTGCGACCTTCAGAATAAGAATTGTAATATGGAGCAGCGCGCTTATTATATATAGACTCAAGAGTGATATACGTTATAGCAATAAACTTAAAGCGGGTCAATATTCACTATTCAATACAGTTAACAGATCAGCGAACTACAATTCCACCAAGCAATAAAAATAAAACCATATCATTGCACATTTATTTATAATTAAAATGTTACATTGTTACAAATTTATATATATGAAGAATACAAAAGCAGCATATAAAAGGCAACAGTAAAGATAAAACAGAACACTACTAACGTATTGGAATATTGTAATGAAGTGTAACGCTCGCCTAAGCGATTAGGACGATAACAATTTCGTATCCACTAATTATTGAACACCAACACGTGAGCAATTGCACAAAAATCCCCATAATTAACCTTATTACTTAGTACAATAACATTAAACACTGTAAATACATTTACAAATTATAAACGTTATTGAATAAAGCCCCGATTAATAAATAGGAATGAACATATTCAATGAAGCAAGCACGCTGTAATCTGACTATTACAGAGAACGACATGCAACTCTCACTGACAAACGTATATGTGAGGCAATATAGAAATTAAAATTAACATCTCCCATCAACCCAAAATACCCACTGTAATGATATTTTATTAACCTCAAAATTAACTTTCCATACAGTGGTCAATATTGTATTAAAATCTAGAAAAATGCATGTGCCTCCACACACACAACCACCACCAAGCTCCCACTAGTAATATGACCCGTGTCAAGATTTTCACATTCCAACCATTTAATTATCGGTCTAGACTACAAAATTTAAGTTAGTCATTTGGACTGTATTGCGTGTCAAAACATTTAGAACACGGGCATTACCACCGTTCGCTTTCCATCTGAGAATCTCTTAATTTTCCATCGTTGAAATGCATGAAATTACATGAGCTATATTAAAAAGTTTCCATGTTGTATCCTTCTGTTAAAAATATTTTTTTTAAACAAATAATTAAAACAATTTTCAGCGAGATTTCGGGCTGCGGCATACAAGTAGCGTCGTGCAATAGTCCTCATCAGAAGCTGAGATAACGGGGGGGGGGGGGGGGGGAGAACATGTGTAGCAGCAGGTAATTACCTAAATGGTGTACTACACCTAAGGTGTACTAGGATGGGTGCTTGTGGGACTGTAGCTGGGTGGAGGACTCTGCAGCAACAGGTGTACTATAGCTGGGTGGAGGACTCTGCAGCAACAGGTGTACTATAGCTGGGTGGAGGACTCTACAGCAACAGGTGTACTATAGCTGGGTGGAGGACTCTACAGCAACAGGTGTACTATAGCTGGGTGGAGGACTCTACAGCAACAGGTGTACTATAGCTGGGTGGAGGACTCTACAGCAACAGGTGTACTATAGCTGGGTGGAGGACTCTGCAACAGGTGTACTATAGCTGGGTGGAGGACTCTACAGCAACAGGTGTACTATAGCTGGGTGGAGGACTCTACAGCAACAGGTGTACTATAGCTGGGTGGAGGACTCTACAGCAACAGGTGTACTATAGCTGGGTGGAGGGCACTGCAGCAACAGGTGTACTATAGCTGGGTGGAGGACTCTGCAGCAACAGGTGTACTATAGCTGGGTTGAGGACTCTGCAGCAACAGGTGTACTATAGCGGGGTGGAGGACTCGACAGTAACAGGTGTACTATAGCTGGGTGGAGGACTCTACAGCAACAGGTGTACTATAACTGGGTGGAGGACTCTGCAGCAACAGGTGTACTATAGCTGGGTGGAGGACTCTGCAGCAACAGGTGTACTATAGCTGGGTGGAGGACTCTGCAGCAACAGGTGTACTATAGCTGGGTGGAGGACTCTGCAGCAACAGGTGTACTATAGCTGGGTGGAGGACTCTGCAGCAACAGGTGTACTATAGCTGGGTGGAGGACTCTACAGCAACAGGTGTACTATAGCTGGGTGGAGGACTCTACAGCAACAGGTGTACTATAGCTGGGTGGAGGACTCTACAGCAACAGGTGTACTAGGGTGGGAGAGGGACATGACTGCATCATGAGCAGAGTGAAAAATGTGTTCCTGGGGAATGACTTTGAGAGTGCCACACACCTCCAAGGTTTCAAGCACGTTCTCTGCAATGAAAAATGCCCAAGTTTAATTAAACTTTTACATTCAAAAAAAGTAAGTAACAATAGCTACTACGGATGTTGGTTCAAAATACGGACTTTTATAACAAAAAAAAGTTCCCGTTTTATACTGTAAAGTGTCTTAGAGGGACGCGAAAACACAGGCAACATGAAGACTTAACTTTTCCTGGATATTGTTAATGTGTGCGCTAAATGAGGCCTAAAATTGGGCTTGTCAGGGGCCTAAGAAAATTTATTTACGTCTTGAATATGTTACGTGTATGGTTAGCTCGTTTCACTTTTGGTATGGCCTTTAGTTTGAGTAATTCAAAAGTTATTTTTTTTTTTTTACAGCAGTTCATAATTTGTACATTCCATTTACAACAGCTACAGGTTGAACACACTTTTGGAGGGGAAAGGGATGGTTTAATTGGGAGGTTGTAACTAATTATTTAGAGGTTGTGTATTGTAAGTTATTAAACAAAATAATGTCCTTAAAGGATGAAACACTATTGATATATCAATAATCAGTCATATATCCTCAAGCTCTCAGTAATCGCGAGAAAAAAGATAACTAAATAGTACATTTAATAAGAAATAGAATAACCAAATTAAAAGTAAATTATCAACGATTATAAATCTTTGAACATTTCCTAATGATCTCATGGGACATTAGAAGAGCAAAACACACGATCGTCCTGAATCTCGGTGCATTCAACAAGGTGCAGATCTGTAAATGGGACAATGCAGTTTGGACAAGAAGGAGCAGGGCAACAGTCCATCCAGTGTTCGTGAGTTAAGCATGTATGGACAATATGTAACCTATCCAGAGCCGTTTCCCACCGTCTGTTACAGTGAAAGGAAGTCTAAGGTGATAGGGTACCTATGAGTGAACAGTTTGTTACCCACACCACCAGACCAATGACTGCAGACTGAGGAATGAATGGATTGGTAGAAATCTGAACAAGGAACGCCTATTTGGGAAATAGGACAGGTGTGAATGGCCTCCTTAGCTGCAATGTCTGGATGCAGATGAGTTACAATAACGTGGCAGAAAAATGTTGACCAAACCACACACTAGAAATTGAAGGGACGACGACGTTTCGGTCCGTCCTGGACTATTGTCAAGTCGATTGTGATGAGACGAGGGAGGCGCGTGTATCAAGGAGGCGAGAGAGTCTGGATGTTAATTTACGGTAATATTGCTGTCTCTGGAACCCAGCAAAACTAAACCGTCTTAAATCAGTTAGAGATAAGAAACAGCCAATAGTGGACTTCGACCAACACAGGATACAAAGGGTTAAATGACTACAGAGCCATGAGGGCTCTGCGTGAGTTAATCACGATAACAAAGGAACACTGACGTTAGAAAATAAGTTAACGAAAAGCACACAAAAGCTACCCGTGGCGGGTGACCGTTACCCGTGGCCGGGTGGGGGGCACAATTACCCGTAGCAGGGTGGGGGGCACAATTACCCGTAGCAGGGTGGGGGGGCACAATTACTCGTGGCAGGGTGGGGGGCACAATTACCCGTGGCAGGTGGCTACAGGTGACGTATCTCCCAATCCTGAGCACTCCAGGTGCAAACTCTACGCAGGAACTGGGACATGATCTTCCACACTACATCACCGACGTCCCAGTTATTAGACCCTACAGACCCGCTGGAATGATGAACCTGGAACTCTGCAAAACTTTATCAACTCATGTTCTTGACATCCTCATTATGCACCCAGAGTTTGTCAGTGCAAACGGATCACATGACTAACCACCCGTGTGATGGGATCTTTAGCCTCACCTAACTAGTTTTGGACACACTGTACTCCCCTACATATAGTCTAGGGCAGCTGCACATAGGCAAATGTACCTAAATATGATGATGATAATTTGTCATCAACACTTCCGTGGAAATAACCATTCCATTCACCTGGGCTCTGGGAGACTCGAGCCATGGACCCCACGCATGTGAGGCCGAAGTTCTATCGACTGAAATATGGACAGTCTTAATAAGGAAAGATTCCAAAAGCAACTACTGCTGCTATGCTGGAACTTTCAACTTCACCTGACTACTACTGAAGCTCAGAGGAATTAGTGATCTACGCCCACGCTATACAAGTTGTCATCCACAGTTCTGGGGAAATGAACATTTCAATTGACTGCTCATAACTCGGTCGACAGAGCTTCAGCCTCACATAGAAAAAAACAAGGAGAAGTCCCTGCACTAAATGAGGCGGCGGCAAGCCAAGCAATCTTGGAGGAATTTGACCTCACCAATGATGGTCAAAAGGAATCTGTTGGAGCTGAATGTGACAAAGGCTGTTGGGCCTGACAGAATCCCACCGTAGATACTAAAGAAAGGTGCAGAAGCACTAAGTGTGCCACTCTCTATGGTGTGTAACAGGTCACTTGAAACAGGAGACCTACCGGAAAGTTGGAAGACAGCTAATGTAGTACCAATATACAAAAAAGGTGACAAGGCAAGAGGAGCTGAACTACAGGCCAGTTTCCCTAACTTGTATATCATTCAAAGTGATGGAGAAGATAATGAGGAAAAGGCTCGTAGAGCATCTGGAGGTAAATAGCTTTGTAACACACCACCAACATGGGTTCAGGGATGGTAAATCGTGCCTCACAGGTTTAATAGAATTCTATGACCAAGCGACAAAAATTAGGCAAGAAAGAGAAGGGTGGGCAGACTGCATTTTCTTGGCCTGTCAGAAAGTCTTTGACATAGTACCCCTAAAAAGGCTGTTACAAAAGTTGGAGAAACAGGCAGGAGTGAAAGGTAAGGTGCTCGAGTGGATGAGGGAGTATCTAAGCAACAGGACACAAGAGTAACTGTGAGGGGGGAGATATCAGGGTGGCAAGATGTCACCAGTGGAGCCCCACAGGGCTCAGTACTGGGACCCATCTTGTTTCTAATATATGTAAACGATCTTCCAGAGGGTATAGACTCATTCCTCTCAATGTTTGCTGCTGATGCAAAAATATCTTCATCTGTTTTGAGAAGAATCAAAACTACAGGACGAGCTGGACAAACTGGAGGAATGGTCTAGAAAATAGCTACTAAAGTTCAACTCAGGAAAGTGTATAATAATAATATTAGGCGAAGGGAGCAGAAGGCTGAACACAAGGTACCTTCTGGGAGGTGAAATCTTGCAAGAGTCAAATAGAGAGAAAGATCTGGAGGTTGATATCACACCGAACCTATCCTCAGAAGCCCACATCAAAGGGATATCATCAGCGGCATATGCTAGATTGGCCAACATAAGAACTGCCTTCAGAAACTTGTGTAAGGAATCATTCAGGACCTTGTATACCACCTATGTCAGACCAATCCTGGAATATGCAGCACCACCCTGGAGTCCATGCCTGCTTAAACACAAGACAAAGTTACAGAAGATTCAGAGGTATGCCACCAAACTAGTCCTGGAACTGAGAGGTATGAGCTACGAGGAAAGGCTAAGGGAGCTGAATCTCACGTCCCTGGAAAACAGAAGAGTAAGGGAAGACATGATAACCACCTACAGAATTCTCAAAGGAAGTGACAGAGTGGACAAAGTCTTCAGCTCTCTGAACTGTTTAGCACGGGTGGAACACCAACAAGGGGACACAGGTTTAAACTTAATACCCAAATGAGCCACAGGAATGTTAGAAAGATTTTTTTCAGTATCAGTAATTAAAAATTGGAATGCATTAGGTAGTGAAGTGGTGGAGGCTGACTCCATACACAGTTTCAAATATATATGATATTCAAATGTATATGATTACTGAGCCCAGTAGACACAGGAATCTGTACACCAATTGACAGTTGAGAGGCGGAACCAAAGAGCCAAAGCTCAACCCCCGCAAGCACAAATAGGTGAGTATAAATAGGTGAGTACACACACACACACACACACAAATAGGTGAGTACACACACACACACACACACACACACACACACACACACACACAGAGGACATACCCGAGGGAGCAGCCAGACACAGCGTGATGCCTGCTTTCTTGTACTCCTTGGACAGTTGTGAGAGAAGACGTCCGGCGCTGGAGTCTATGTAGCCCACTCCGCTCATCTCCACCACCAGCCAGTCTACTTCCTGCAGGAGAATTTAACTATTTTAATAATTATATTATCGGAGAAAAATTAATTAATTCAACAATTGCATACGAATACTTTATTATATTGTTTAACAGTATCATTACCTCCGATAATGTCGCCGGGGGGGGGGGGGGGGTGTTACACTACCCCGGGTGTTGTGGTCACCGGGGGGGGGGTGTGTTACACTACTCTGGGTGTTGTGGTCACCGGGGGTGTTACACTACCCCGGGTGTTGTGGTCACCGGGGGGGGGGTGTGTTACACTACTCTGGGTGTTGTGGTCACCGGGGGTGTGTTACACTACCCCGGGTGTTGTGGTCACCGGGGGGGTGTTACACTACTCTGGGTGTTGTGGTCACCGGGGGTGTGTTACACTACTCTGGGTGTTGTGGTCACCGGGGGTGTGTTACACTACCCCGGGTGTTGTGGTCACCGGGGGTGTGTTACACTACTCTGGGTGTTGTGGTCACCGGGGGGTGTTACACTACTCTGGGTGTTGTGGTCACCGGGGGTGTGTTACACTACTCTGGGTGTTGTGGTCACCGGGTGTGTGTTACACTACCCTGGGTGTTGTGGTCACCGGGGGTGTGTTACACTACTCTGGGTGTTGTGGTCACCGGGGGTGTGTTACACTACCCCGGGTGTTGTGGTCACCGGGGGTGTGTTACACTACTCTGGGTGTTGTGGTCACCGGGGGTGTGTTACACTACCCCGGGTGTTGTGGTCACCGGGGGTGTGTTACACTACTCTGGGTGTTGTGGTCACCGGGGGTGTGTTACACTACCCTGGGTGTTGTGGTCACCGGGGGTGTGTTACACTACTCTGGGTGTTGTGGTCACCGGGGGTGTGTTACACTACTCTGGGTGTTGTGGTCACCGGGGGTGTGTTACACTACCCTGGGTGTTGTGGTCACCGGGGGTGTGTTACACTACTCTGGGTGTTGTGGTCACCGGGGGTGTTACACTACTCTGGGTGTTGTGGTCACCGGGGGGGGTGTTACACTACTCTGGGTGTTGTGGTCACCGGGGGTGTGTTACACTACCCCGGGTGTTGTGGTCACCGGGGGGGGTGTTACACTACCCCGGGTGTTGTGGTCACCGGGGGTGTGTTACACTACCCCGGGTGTTGTGGTCACCGGGGGTGTGTTACACTACCCCGGGTGTTGTGGTCACCGGGGGTGTGTTACACTACCCTGGGTGTTGTGGTCACCGGGGGTGTGTTACACTACCCCGGGTGTTGTGGTCACCGGGGGGGGGGTGTTACACTACCCCGGGTGTTGTGGTCACCGGGGGTGTGTTACACTACCCTGGGTGTTGTGGTCACCGGGGGTGTGTTACACTACTCTGGGTGTTGTGGTCACCGGGGGTGTTACACTACTCTGGGTGTTGTGGTCACCGGGGGGGTGTTACACTACTCTGGGTGTTGTGGTCACCGGGGTGTGTTACACTACCCCGGGTGTTGTGGTCACCGGGGGGGGGTGTTACACTACCCCGGGTGTTGTGGTCACCGGGGGTGTGTTACACTACCCCGGGTGTTGTGGTCACCGGGGGTGTGTTACACTACCCCGGGTGTTGTGGTCACCGGGGGTGTGTTACACTACCCTGGGTGTTGTGGTCACCGGGGGTGTGTTACACTACCCCGGGTGTTGTGGTCACCGGGGGGGGGTGTTACACTACCCCGGGTGTTGTGGTCACCGGGGGTGTGTTACACTACTCTGGGTGTTGTGGTCACCGGGGGTGTGTTACACTACCCGGGTGTTGTGGTCACCGGGGGTGTGTTACACTACTCTGGGTGTTGTGGTCACCGGGGGTGTGTTACACTACCCGGGTGTTGTGGTCACCGGGGGTGTGTTACACTACTCTGGGTGTTGTGGTCACCGGGGTGTGTTACACTACTCTGGGTGTTGTGGTCACCGGGGGTGTGTTACACTACCCCGGGTGTTGTGGTCACCGGGGGTGTGTTACACTACTCTGGGTGTTGTGGTCACCGGGGTGTGTTACACTACCCTGGGTGTTGTGGTCACCGGGGGTGTGTTACACTACCCCGGGTGTTGTGGTCACCGGGGTGTGTTACACTACCCCGGGTGTTGTGGTCACCGGGGTGTGTTACACTACCCCGGGTGTTGTGGTCACCGGGGGTGTGTTACACTACCCCGGGTGTTGTGGTCACCGGGGGTGTGTTACACTACCCTTGGTGTTGTGGTCACCGGGGGTGTGTTACACTACCCCGGGTGTTGTGGTCACCGGGGTGTGTTACACTACCCCGGGTGTTGTGGTCACCGGGGTGTGTTACACTACCCCGGGTGTTGTGGTCACCGGGGTGTGTTACACTACCCCGGGTGTTGTGGTCACCGGGGTGTGTTACACTACCCCGGGTGTTGTGGTCACCGGGGTGTGTTACACTACCCCGGGTGTTGTGGTCACCGGGGTGTGTTACACTACCCCGGGTGTTGTGGTCACCGGGGTGTGTTACACTACCCCGGGTGTTGTGGTCACCGGGGTGTGTTACACTACCCCGGGTGTTGTGGTCACCGGGGTGTGTTACACTACCCCGGGTGTTGTGGTCACCGGGGTGTGTTACACTACCCTGGGTGTTGTGGTCACCGGGGGTGTGTTACACTGGGTGTTATGGTTGTGTGCTTTGGTTATGGAAACTGACTATCAGTGGCGGCGTTGGAAAATTCACTTAGCAAATTAGATAACCGAGGGTGAGGATGTTATCTTACCGGTAAGGTGAGGGAGACCTGCTTGGTCTTGCTCATGATCTGAGTGTTGGTGAGGCGCAGCGTTTGCTCCACCATCAGACTCCGCGTCGACGCCATCCCAATGGGATCCTTGTGATCAATTGTTATTTTTTTTAGTAAAATGCTCACTAAATTTTAACGTTTCAAGATATACTCTACAAGAATATATCCTTTTAATATATAAAAAAATTATTATAAGGTTTCAACCATATCTCTAAATGTCAAATATACACTTTTAACCAAATGATTTGTTGCAATATTAAAAAAATGCCTTAAATTTGCTTCTTCTAAACGATTTTAAGCATCTAATTCCAAACTACCTCAACATCTCGTATCATGGCATCATTATCTAATTAACTCTTTTAAACAATTCAATTTCAATTAGGGTACTCGCTGGTAAATAGTTTACTTTGGAGCTGGTTCAAACTACATATTTATAGCTTATACTGCTGGAGTGACAGCTTTAAGGAAGACCAGCTACACAGGTCACCACTGGAGCGACAGCTTTAAGGAAGACCAGCTACACAGGTCACCACTGGAGCGACAGCTTTAAGGAAGACCAGCTACACAGGTCACCACTGGAGCGACAGCTTTAAGGAAGACCAGCTACACAGGTCACCACTGGAGCGACAGCTTTAAGGAAGACCAGCTACACAGGTCACCACTGGAGCGACAGCTTTAAGGAAGACCAGCTACACAGGTCACCACTGGAGCGACAGCTTTAAGGAAGACCAGCTACACAGGTCACCACTGGAGCGACAGCTTTAAGGAAGACCAGCTACACAGGTCACCACTGGAGTGACAGCTTTAAGGAAGACCAGCTACACAGGTCACCGCTGGAGTGACAGCTTTAAGGAAGACCAGCTACACAGGTCACCACTGGAGCGACAGCTTTAAGGAAGACCAGCTACACAGGTCACCACTGGAGTGACAGCTTTAAGGAAGACCAGCTATACAGGTCACACACACACACACACACACACACACACACACACACACACACACACACACACACACACACACACACACACACACACACACACACACACACACAGCGAGTAACTGTGAGGGGGGAGACATCAGAGTGGCGAGATGTCACCAGCGGAGTCCCACAGGGCTCAGTACTTGGACCCATCCTGTTTCTAATATATGTGAACGATCTTCCAGAGGGTATAGACTCATTCCTCTCGTTGTTTGCTGATGATGCAAAAATTATGAGAAGAATCAAGACGGATGAAGATAGACAAAGACTACAGGATGACCTGGATAAACTGGAGGAATGGTCTAGAAAATGGCTGCTAAAGTTCAACTCGGGAAAGTGTAAGGTGATGAAATTAGGCGAAGGGAGCAGGAGGCTGAACACAAGGTATCATCTGGGAGGGGAAATCCTGCAAGAGTCAAATAGAGAGAAGGATCTGGGGGTTGATATCACTCCGAACCTGTCCCCAGAGGCCCCCATCAAAAGAATATCATCAGCGGCATATGCTAACCTGGCCAACATAAGAACTGCCTTCAGAAACTTGTGTAAGGAATCTTTCAGAACCCTGTATACCACTTATGTAAGACCAATCCTGGAGTATGCAGCTCCAGCCTGGAGCCCATACCTAGTTAAACACAAGACAAAGTTAGAGAAGATTCAGCGGTATGCCACCAGGCTCGTCCCGGAACTGAGAGGATTGAGCTACGAGGAAAGGCTAAAGGAGCTGAACCTCACATCCCTGGAAAACAGAAGAGTAAGGGGAGACATGATAACCACCTACAAAATTCTCAGGGGAATTGACAGGGTGGACAAAAACTCTTCAGCACGGGTGGGACACGAACACGGGGACACAGGTGGAAACTTAGTACCCAGATGAGCCACAGAGACGTTAGAACGAATTTTTTCAGTGTCAGAGTAGTTAATAAATGGAATGCATTAGGCAGTGATGTGGTGGAGGCTGACTCCATACACAGTTTGAAATGTAGATATGATAGAGCCCAGTAGGCTCAGGAATCTGTACACCAGTTGATTGACAGTTGAGAGGCGGGACCAAAGAGCCAAAGCTCAACCCCCGCAAGCACAATTAGGCGAGTACAATTAGATGAGTACACACACACACCCTCCACACCCACACCACCCACACCACCCACACCACACACACCCTCCACACCCACCCCCCACCCCCCACACACACACACACACACACACATCACATAGCATCATTATGATGCAAAAATTATGAGGAGGATTGAAACAGAGGATGATAGGAGGAGGCTACAAGATGACCTAGACAGAGTGAATGAATGGTCCAACAAATGGCTGCTGAAGTTCAACACGAATAAATGCAAAGTAATGAAACTAGGCAGTGGAAACAGGCCAGACACAGGCTATAGAATAGGAGATGAAGTACTTCATGAAACGGACAGGGAGAAGGATCTAGGAGTTGATATGACACCAAACCTGTCTCCTGAAACCCACATAAAAAGAATTACGTCTGCGGAATATGCGAGGCTGGCTAACATCAGAACGGCGTTCAGGAACCTGTGTAAGGAATCATTCAGAATCTTGTACACCACATATGTAAGACCAATCCTGGAGTATGCGGCCCCAGCATGGAGCCCGTACCTTGTCAAGCACAAGACGAAGCTGGAAAAAGTTCAGAGGTATGCCACTAGACTAGTCCCAGAACTAAGAAGCATGAGTTACGAGGAAAGGCTGCGGGAAATGCACCTTACGACACTGGAAGACAGAGGAGTAAGGGGGGACATGATCATTACCTAAACAATCCTCAGAATAATTGACAAGGTAAACAAGGATGAACTATTCAACACGGGTGGGACGCGAACAAGGGGACACAGGTGGAAACCGAGTACCCACATGAGCCACAGAGACGTTAGAAAGAACTTTCAGTGTCAGAGTAGTTAACAGACGGAATGCATTAGGAAGTGATGTTGTAGAGGCTGACTCCATACACAGTTTTAAGTGTAGATATGATAGAGCCCAATAGGCTCAGGAACCTGTACACCAGTTGATTGACAGTTGAGAGGCGGGACCAAAAAGCCAGAGCTCAACCCCCGCAAACAAATAGGTGAGTACACAGACACGCACAGACACACACATAGACACACAGACACACAGACACACACACACAGACACACACACACACACAGTATACCCTACTCCGGGTAGTTAGACAGCATTATCTGGGAACGAGGCTGAACTGGAAACAAGGTAAATGGGGGTTCCAGACGACACAAGTACTATAGTACCCGCCTCAGCCGGATAAAGGGGGAATCAATGAGGATCTCAAAGGAAAATCCACACTCTCTGGTTCAGCATTATCTTGTATTGACGGATAACGAACCGTAGCCAATTTTTTTTTTTTAACGAGGTACAGTTCCTCCCAATTTACACAAACCAATTAGATTACATTGTTGAATTTAAGAAAACTGTCTAGAGTGGTCTTTGTGAGCGTCTTGTACAAGTGTCTCCACAGATATCCCGTTCCATCTTTGTCTTTACAACGGAACGGAAGTCAGGTGCATGGGGAGGGACCCGGTTCCTGGAGATCTGTGTTCATGCTGCCTAGTAAGTAGCCCAAAAATTTACAAATGCTCTATAATCACGTTGTGATTATAGACCACATTATAGACCTTGCTCTTGGATACTACGACAATAATGGAATAAGACAAAAGCCCATCATCCAGTTCCCTTAATATACTTTTAGTTAAATAATTGAAATCAACTGGAAAATGTTATACAACTCCTACCTTATGGGTCAGCTGGATGTTAACATTTTCCTCCAGCATCCTCTCCTTGAGGATGGCGCACCTGGAGGTGGCGATGGTGAAGGGGTCCAGCCCCGTCACCTCCACCAACTGGTTACGGAAGTACTCAGAGTTGGCAAAATGTAGCGGCCCTCTGAACTGGAACATGACCACTGCCGGGATCTCCACAGTCTGATGGGGAAAGCTTATCAATGTTCCACGTCAATCGAATCATTTAATAGCAATGCATTTCGATTTCAGATATTACAAAGAAGCCAAATTTAAGTAATGATCAGAATTACTGTTTTTTTTTTTGGCCAAGTACGGCCAAGAGCCTCAGAATGTAAAGGAAATGCCCACTCAGCAGATTATTATGCATGATGAAGAATGTAGAGAAATATATAACCTTCGTGGCTTCCTCAACAGCCCTGGACTTTTGCCAATAGGTAAATTACACTGGATCATAATATTTCATTTCTAACTTGGTAGTTATGTCTGGAGATTCATACAAAAAAAGTTGATCTGAAAGACTTTATACATAAAACCCCGTTTTCACGAAGTAAGTAAGTAAGTAATTATCAAAAGAAGGCACCAAACCGGGAAGGCTATGTAGCACCATCAAATACGCAAAATAATCAGAGGGCGTTAAATATCACCAAGGATGCCAATACGAGAACAAAACCGCATAAGGCGAACGATATCAAAAGTATCCGAGTCACCAAGAATTCTATCGAGGGACAGGTGACGGCGAGGGGCGGTCGGAAAGCAAGACACACGCTCGTCCTGGAAGTCAGGACATTCAAGAAGGACATGAACGACCGTAAGAGGGACAATGCAACTAGGACAATAAGGAGCAGGGCGGCGCTCCATCAAGTGACCATGGGTTAAGCGAATATGGCCAATACGCAACCTCGCCAGAGCTGTTTCCCACCGCCGGTTACGGTGGAAGGAGGACTGCCACGAGGAAACACAACATTTAAGAGTACGTAGCTTGTTACCAGTAACAGACAACCAAGAAGCCTGCCAACGGGTAAGGACTGAGGAATGGATAACCGGGTAAAAGTCGGAATACGGAATGCCTTTACGAGAGATGGGACAAGAGCGGACAGCTTCCTTGGCGGCAGCATCCGCACGTTCATTTAAAGACACACCAATATGGCTGGGAACCCAACAAAACTGAACCGACTTAAATTTACTGTGAACGAGAAACAGCCAATGCTGGATCTCGACAACTACTGGATGAACCGGATTAAGGGACCCGAGAGCCATGAGGGCACTACGAGAGTCAACAACAACTACAAAGGAAGACTGACAACGAGAAAGCAGGAGACGAAGAGCATAGAGAATAGCATAAAGTTCCGCTGTAAAGACGCTAGTCTCCGGAGGTAAGCGACACATATAAGTGCGATCAGGAAAAACAACAGAGTAGCCAACACCGTCCGCTGACTTAGACCCATCGGTGAAGACAGAAACAGAGCGGGAGTGAGAAGAAAAGTGCTTGAGGAAAAGGCGTTTTAGAACCGTAGGAAGGGTAAAAGCTTTAGTGATACGGGTCAAGGATGTACAAAACCGCGGAAGAGGGACCCTCCACGGGGGCAAAGAAGGAACAACACGAGGAGAAACATCAGAAATACGAACGGAAAGAGAATCCTGCAGGCGAGATAACCGGACAGAAAGAGGGAGGTGGTGAAGAGGAACAGGAACCGCAGGAGGGGTAAAAGTTAAAGCACGACAGAGGCGAGAGGAAGGATGTTGCAAGGACCGCGCAAGATAGCGAAGACAGTAGCGATCATGGCGGTCCTGGAGAGACAGGAAGCCAGTGTCAACATACAAGCTAAGGATGGGAGTCGAACGAAAGGCACCAGAACTGAGGCGCAACCCAGTATGGTGCAAAGCATCAAGACGGCGAAGAGTAGAAGGAGAAGCAGACGAGTAAGCAGGGCAACCATAATCGAGCTTAGACAGGACGAGAGAGGAATGTAAAGCAAGGAGAGTGCGCCTATCTGCCCCCAAAGAAGTATGGGACAAGACCCGAAGGAGGGTAAGGGCCTTAGAGCACTCAACACGGAGGTAAGAGATATGGGGAGACCAAGCCAAACGAGTGTCAAGGAATAACCCCAAAAGCTTCGCGGAATCTTTGTATTCAAGGGGATGACCATAAAGTGACAAAGAGGGACGAAGAACAACCCGTTTCCGCGTAAAAGTCATGGCACAAGTCTTAGAAGTAGAGAACTTGAAGCCATGATCTGTGGCCCAAGTCGACACGGCATCAATTGCAAGTTGAAGCCGGCGTTGAAGGAGAGGCGAATCATCACCCTGACAACAAAGGGTAAGATCATCGACATAGAGAGCGGAGAAGACACCAGAAGGAAGAGAGGAAAGAAGACCATTGAGGGCAACCAGAAAAAGAGTAGTGCTCAGAACACTACCCTGGGGCACACCTGCGTATTGCTGAAAAGAGGGAGAGAGAGCGGCACCAAGGCGCACCCGAAAGGAACGACGAGAGAGGAAGCTGTGGAGAAAGAGAGGGAGATGACCACGAAGGCCAAAAGAATGAAGTTGAGATAGGATATGATAACGCCAAGTGGTGTCGTAAGCCTTTTCCAGGTCAAAAAGGACGGCAACAACGGAGGTCTTCGCAGCAAAAGCAGTACGAATATAGACCGCCAAGTTCACCAAGACATCTGTCGTGCTGCGGCACTTACGGAAACCAAATTGAGAAGGGAAGAGGAGGTGATGGTGTTCCAGGAACCACATCAGACGAACGTTAACCATACGTTCAAAGAGTTTGCAGACACAACTTGTGAGAGCAATAGGGCGAAAGTCCTTAGGGGAAGTACCCAGAGACCCCAGTTTGCGAACAGGGAGGACAACGGCATCGAGCCAGCCCTCAGGGACTGACGACGACTCCCAAATCCGATTATACAGACTCAGTAAATACTGAGACGTGCTCGGAGGGAGATGGCGAAGCATCTCATAATGAATACCATCGGAGCCCGCCGCTGTAGAACCGCAGAGGGCCAGGGCAGAACGAAGTTCAGAGAGAGAGAAGGGATCATTATAGGGAAGCTGAAGATGAGTGCAGAAATCTAAAGGACGAGACTCAAGGACAGGTTTACGAAGAAGGAAAGATTGGGGAAGATGAAGACCAGATCTAACAGAAGAAAAGTGGGAACCCAGTTCGGAAGCGACCTGCAACGGGTCCGCCACAAGAGTATCATGGAGGTGAAGGACCGGTGAAACATCGGGAACGAACTTACCCGCTATCTTGCGGATACGCTTCCAGATCTGGGCCAGAGGGGTTTCGGACGTAATTGTTGAGACATAAGATGCCCAACATTCACGTTTAGCCGTGCGGATGGCCCTACGGGCCACCGCACTCGCTTTCCGAAAGAAAAGAAAAGAATCGGTCGTCTGCCTACGGCGGTGCCTCTTCCAGGCTGCACGCTTACAGCGGACAGCCCGAGCACAGTCTGCATTCCACCAGGGAACGCACTTCCGTGGACCCCGAGAGGAAGAGCGAGGAATAGAGCGGAGGGCAGCGTTGAAGACAGTGTCATGAAAAAGGAGGAGAGCGCGAGAGAGAGGCAGAAGGGAGAGGTCAGAGAGCAGCACTGAGGGTAAATAGGGTCCAGTCTGCCTTAGCAAACTGCCACCTAGGGAAAGAGAGGGAAGGGCGAAAAGAGAAAAAGGAAACAAGGATGGGGAAATGATCACTTCCATGGAGGTCATCAAGAACCTGCCACGTGAAATCTAAGTAAAGAGAAGAAGAGCAGAGAGAAAGATCAAGACAAGAAAGGGTGCGAGTCCGAGAGTCCAAATGAGTGGGCTCACCAGAATTCAGAAGAGACAGGGAAGAAGAGAGGAGAAACGGCTCAAGGAGGCGACCCCGGGTATTCGTCAGAACGTCACCCCAAAGAGAATGACGACAATTGAAGTCACCCAGCAGGAGCACAGGCTCCGGCAAGGAGTCTAGGTGGTGTTTCAAATCAGGAAGAGAGAGCGGGACACTCGGGGGGAGGTAAATGGAACAAACTGTGTACCATTTCCCCACAAAGGGGGCGAAAACCGCGAAATCAGAAGTTGGAGTTCGAGGAAATTGGCGTAATAACCTCGAACGTTCCATTGAAGAATGGACAACGACGAGAAGAGAAAGGACAAAAACAGAGAACAAGGAAGAAACAAAGGCGAAAGAGCAACAGAGCACGTTAAAGAATATCAGGGTCAGCAAAGTCAGGGTTAGGGGGCATGGGTAAACTGAGCAAAGACAGAGGGAAGGAAACGGGAGAACAGATCAGAGGAGGGCGGGCGGGGTCCGGAGGAGGAGGAGGAAGAGGAGGAGACAACGGAGAGGAGCAGTCAAGGACAGCAGCAGGAAGAGGGGGAGTAGAAAGAGGGGAGCGCACCCCAGCAAGAGCAGCAACCGAAAGGGAAGCAGGGGCCAAAGAAACCTCCATAGCAGGAACAGGGGGCGTAATCACTGAAACGGGAGGGGAAGGAGCAACAGAGCCAGAAGTAGGAGCTGAGGAAGAAAGCGAAGCCTTCTTATCCGCCGGGGAAGAGGAAGGAGAGGAGCCAGGCTTACGCTTCTGACTTAAAGAGACCGGTGTCCCAGCAACTACGTACCGGGCAACGGATTCCAGTGTCTCAACAGGAGAAGCCGAACGAGAGCACACACGACGGCCGTTAGGAGAGCGATGGACATCCGCCCGCACCGACAGGCGGTAGGGAGAGCCGATAGATGGAGGAAGAGGATGGGAAGGAGGATCGGAGGGGGACGAGGAAGAAGACACAGGAGACACGACAGACCGGGTAGAAGGAAGGGGAACCCCAGACAGAGGACCAGGAGGAGGATCCCTCGGGAGAGAACCCAAAGGAACAAAGGAGGGGGCAGTGGGCGCATCAGGGTCCAAGGCCTGGAAACGGTTGTGAGTCTGAGGAAGGCGGGAAGGACGAGGAGAGGAAGAGCGCAACACGCGAGCATAAGAGATATTAGCATAAGGCGGGAGCCGGCGAACCTGGTGTCTCGCCTCAGGAAAAGATAAACGCTCCCGGTGCTTCAAGTTGAGGACAGCTGCCTCAAGCTTGTAATGGACACACGCACGGGAGAAGGTAGGATGGGCCTCACCGCAGTTGAGGCAACGAGCCTGGGGAGAAGTGCACTCCGACTTAGAGTGACCTTCGCCACCACA